TCTTCCAGGGGAAAATCTTCTATTGTTTCCTCGTTTTCTCCCTGTGTTGGGAAAATTAATTTTTCCTCAAACTCCACCTGCTTTGAAGCACCAACGGTTTGTTTGACATCTTCAACTATCACCTTATCTGTTATGGCAGATTCATCAAAGGTAACATCTCTGCTGAATATAATTTTTCCTGTCTCTAGGCACCATAATCGGTATCCTTTGACTCCATAAGTAATCCCCATAAATATAGTTTTCTTTGCTCTCGGATCCAATTTTGACTCTTTCACATGATAATATGCAATTGAGCCAAACACATGTAAAAAATTATAATCTTCAGCAGGTTTTCCATACCATTTTTCAAATGGTGTCTTGCCTCCAATAGCGGCAGATGGTAGACGATTAATGAGGTGATATGCATATGTTATTGCCTCAGCCCAAAATTCTTTGTCCAAGCCAGCATTGGACAACATACACCGAACCTTCTCCAGCAAAGTCCGGTTCATGCGTTCTGCCACTCCATTCTGTTGTGGTGTATTTCTGACGGTGAAATGTCTCAAAATGCCATCATCTTCACAAATCTTATTGTAAAGATCATTTTTGCATTCTCCACCGTTATCTGTGCGAAAACACTTTATCTTTCTGCCTGTTTGAGTCTCTATCATCGCCTTCCATTTGAGAAAAATTCCCAGCACCTCATCTTTGGTTTTCATAGTATACACCCACACTCTCCGGGAAAAGTCATCAATAAAGGTTACAAAATAGTGTTTCCCACTTAATGAAGGTGTTTTGGAAGCACCCCAAACATCCGAGTGAACATAATCCAAAATACTTTTAGTATTATGGATTGATGTTCCAAATTTAACCCTTGTTTGTTTTCCCTTGACACAATGCTCACAAAACTCCAAATTGCAAGTCTTTACTCCTTTTAACAATCCTTGATCTGATAAAATCTTTAAGGATTTTCCTCCAGCATGTCCCAAGCGCATGTGCCATAGCTTGGTTGCTTCTGCCTCCTTGTCATCACTGGATGTCACTGTTGCTGTCCCAATAACTGTACTACCGCGATAGTGGTACATGCTATTATTTCGCCGGATTCCCTTCATTACCACTAATGCACCAGAGCATATTCTCATTACCCCATTTTCTGCAACGACTTTGAGCCCCTTTGACTTTAGGGCTCCTACAGAAATGATATTTTTCTTCAATTCCGGTACGTATCGAACATCTGTTAATATTCTGATCAATCCATCATGGTTCCTTAATCGGATTGAACCAATACCATATGCGGTAAGAGGATTGTTATTTGCTGTGTGAATAACTCCACATTCTCCTTCTTGAAAATCAACGAACCAGTCCTTGTTGGGACACATATGATAGCTACAAGCTGAATCCATCAGCCATATGTCAGATGGTTTGAATGGCTCAGTTGTAACTAGCGAGAAATCAGAGTCGTCACAATCAGCTACATTTGAATCCATGACAGCCTTTCCATTGTTAGGTTTGGCCTTGTTTTTCAACTTTGGACAGTCTTTATTCCAATGCCCCTTTTCTCGGCAAAAGGCACATTCATCTTTGTTGGGGTCTGGATCTTGACTTGGATCTTTCTTTCTTCGTTCTCATATGATTTTGAGAACGATCTCTCACGACCAGTGCTTCTCCTTCTCCACTCTTTTGTTTTTCTCTCTTTCTTTGTTCATAGCTGTACAAGGCAGAACAAACTTCTTTGAGAGACACTTCATCATTCCCATGAAGTAGAGTAGTTTCGAGGTGCTCGTACTCATCGGTAAGTGAACTTAATAACATTAAGGCCATATCTCCATCACTAAAAGTCACGTCCATATTCTGTAAATCTGTCGCCAACTTATTAAAGCTGGTGATATGATCATTCATTGTAGTACCAGGAACATATGTGAAGCGTAACAGCCTTTTTTTCATGTAAAGTTTATTTTGACTGTTTTTCTTCAAGAATTTATCCTCCAACGCATTCCACAATTTACTTGCAGAAGTTTCTTTTGTGTATGGATACTTCTGTTCTCTTGCGAGGTAAGATCGAATGGTACCACAAGCAACGCGGTTGATAATCTTCCAATCTCCTTCTCCGATATTGTCTGGTTTATTTTCTTCTATGGCAATAACTAGCCCTTGTTGAAAAAGGACATCAAGAACCTCAGCTTGCCACATCCCGAAATATCCTGACCCGTCAAAAATTTCAACTGCAAATTTCGCATTTGACATAATTCTTGTCATAAGCGAAGATGCCAACGACGTATTATTGACACCCGATGTGGACTCTTCATTTATATTATCTCCCATTTTGCTATAGATATTATTTATTTGCTGACAGTACAGAACATCAAAGTAATTCTTTTCTGATGTGGAAGTTCAGACTATGCTGCAACCACAGAGCATACTAAGATAGAACCTTGGCTCTGATACCAATTGTTGCGGAAGCCGAATATATAGAGAGTGATTAAATCACAACTATTATATCTAAAGGTAGCTAATAAATAGTAAATGAGACAATAATAAAATGAACACCAGAAATTAATGAGGTTCGGCAAAATTTGATTTTTTGCCTAGTTCTCGGACACAATCAACTCAAATTTATTTCACTCCAAAAATACAAATGAAATACTACAAGAGAGAAAGAAGATTCAAATGCCTTAGGAAATAAGAAGGCAAGTGAGAGATGTTTACAAATGAACAAAATCCTTGCTATTTATAGAAGAGAAATGGCCTTAATAATGTCATGCATGACATCATATTAAGTGTGAACATGTAATGTAAATGCACGAAAAATGCATCTACCAATTTCTTAAGGCTTCAAATGTTCACACTAGTTCACATTAATCTTGTCAAAATTCAACAATTGCTGCATCACAATATGCTTAAATTCAATTTGATTTGGTTGACAACTTTCTAGCTTTGATCATTCATCACAAAGCGCATTCTTCACTCAGCACGTATTTTTATTAAGACATTCTTTCCTTCCATTCTGACCGATTTCATAAGTTAAATATGCAAAAGATAGTGCAGTGAGAGTCTCCTTACTGGATTATAACTATGGACTAAAGTTAAATGCATACATTTCTTTCCCTGTACTTGCACTTCTCGTGCTCATATTTGATATCTCTTCTTGGCTACACAGAGCGAGAACATGACCAACAAGTGGCATGTGTACATGACAAAAGACGGGAGGATATCGTTGGCTGGATTATCTGCTGCCAAATGTGAATATCTTGCAGATGCCATAATTGACTCATACTACAATGTCAGCTAAAAATCTTGGATATGAGAATAGTAGTTCATAGTAATATCTGGAGGAAATTCAATGTAGTTCATTCCTTATTTTGAGCAAGTTATCCTCAAATATTGTAATAATAATAGTTTTTGATTTGTCTGCGGTTCACAGATTTCATCTGTATGTAGCAAATTTTGGGACAACTTCTAAACAGCCAGATTCTGTAGTTATTATGTAAGAAAGTTTTCCAGAGCGAAATACTCGAGTAGACATCTTAGTCTAGCTAATTATCACTTCAACTATATTTTTGTTGACATACAAAATCTCTAAGCAGACTATAGGATTCTTAACAAACATAACATCATGACTAAGCTTTATCCTACTTGTCGGTATTGCTTATATGGATCTTTTGTTTTCTTGCTTTTATATTTTTCGCCAAATCTACATGGATTTGGAATATTTTAGGTTTTTTGAGATAATGTCTTTTAGTGTGATTTTCAATTTACCTTGTTTCCTTTTTAATATATTAAATGATTATGGCTTCGCACTTGCTCAGTGATGCATTTAGAGCTCCACATATAACATGCATAACTTATTTCAAGCAATCTTCTATTACTTTATCCTATAGGTGTGCTACTTGTACATATTATTGGATGAGATCATTTCTAACTATATAAATTTACTCAAACCGATTAAAATTATGTTTGGCTAACTTAGATGGAACGACCCAGTTAATGATAATTTAGACTTTCTTGTATACACTTGCTGTACCTTTTTTTTTTCCCTTTTCCATCGGACCAAAATATAGTAAGTTACATCTTTCATTTTATATGACATCATCTTACTTGACACAAAAAAAATACTTTATCTTCCATTTTATATGACATCATTTGATTTGACGCAAAATTTAAGATATCAACTTATGAAATATGTAGTAGTTATGTAAGAAAAGAATTAAACAAATAAGGTGTGTTTGGTACGAAAGGAAAATATTTTTCATGAAAAATATTTTTCTAGAAAATGTTTTTCAGGAAAACGAGATGTTTTATCACTTATTCCCATGTTTGGTTGGTGAGTAAAAAGCTTTTTTCCGGAAAATATCTTCTAGTATTTGTTTGGAGAGTAAAAAATATTTTTTAGAAACATAATTTTTTTTATACTACTTTCCTTAACCCCCCCCCAACAACAACAACAATAACATACCCAGTATTATTTCATACCGTGGAGTTTGGGGAGGGTAGTGTGTACGCAGACCTTACCCCTACCTTGTGAGGATAGAGAGGTTGTTTCCAATAGACCCTCGGCTCAGGATATTATAAGTACCACATTAATAAAAATATAGGCAAAAAGGGATAGTATCAAAAAGTCATATAAAAGCAGAATAAAATAACAAGACAGTAAAGTAATCAACAATGAAAGAAAACAACGGTTAGTCATAAAAATCTACTACCAACAGAAAACGAGACTGCGTGCCAATACTAATGTTATGAACATTCTACACTACCTACTCTACTACCCTAATTCTCGACCTCCAAACCTTCCTATCAAGGGTCATGTCCTCGGTCAGCTGAAGCTGCGCCATGTCTTGCCTAATCACCTCTCCCCACTTCTTCTTTGGCCTACCTCTACCTCTCCGTAGGCCCTGCAATGTTAATCTCTCACACCTCCTCACTGGGGCGTCTGTACTCCTCCTCCTCACATGACCAAACCACCTAAGCCGCTCTTCCCGCATCTTGTCCTCAATAGAGGCCACACCCACCTTATCGCAAATAACCTCATTTCTGATCCTATCTAACCTGGTGTGTCCGCACATCCATCTCAACATCCTCATCTCTGCTACCTTCATCTTCTGGACATGAGCAATCTTGACTGGCCAACACTCATCCCCATACAGCATCGTTGGTCTGACCACCACTCTGTAGAACTTACCCTTAAATTTCGGTGGCACCTTTTTGTCACGCAAAAAAATCGAAAGCGAGTCTCCATTTCATCCATCCCGCCCCAATACGATGTGTGACATCTTCATCAATCTCCCCATCCCCCTGAATAATAGACGCGAGGTACTTAAAACTCCCTCTCCTAGGGATGACCTGCGAGTCCAGCCTCACCTTCCCTTCCCCTCCTAGAGTCTCGCCACTGAACTTACACTCCAAGTATTCTGTCTTGGTCCTGCTCAACTTGAAACCTTTAGATTCCAGGGTCTGTCTCCATACCTCTAATTGCTCGTTCACACTGTCTCGCGTCTCGTCAATCAATACAATATCATATGCAAATAGCATACACCACGACATCTCCCCTTGGATGTGGCGCGTCAGTACGTCCATCACCAGAGCAAACAAAAACGAGCTGAGTGCTGACCCTTGATGCAACCCCATCATAACCGAAAAATGGTCTGAGTTCCCCCTCCTTCTCCCCCTCACTCGAGTCTTTACTCAATCATACATGTCCTTAATCAACCTAATGTAGGCAACATGTACACCTCTAGCCTCCAAACATCTCCACAAAATCTCCCTCGAAACTTTATCGTACGCCTTTTCTAAGTCGATGAACACCATATGCAACGTTTTCATAAACTCTAAATACCCAACGTTTTCATGACTTTATTTTCTTCAAGAATTTAATTATTCTCTTAAAATATTACACAAGCCCAAACGAGACTAATGTGTTGCTTTACTTTTTCACTCAAAAATAATGTTGAAATTTGTGCTACATAACTAAAAAGCTAAATACATATCCAGCCACTTAAAGTTGCCATAATTTTTTATTTTGACACTTTAATTAGGGCTTGTTCCTATAGACCCTCCAACCTTATTCAGAATGTACCAATTAAACACAAAATTCCAAATCCAAGATAAATTCAGGCGCGTGTTCATAAGGCTTCCCACCTGTAAAAGCCATGAAATAAAAACCTGACACGTGTTTCTTAGTTCCACGTAATTTGAACCTGCGTCAAAGCCAAAAATGATCCATTTTAGTGAAACAGTCCTCACTTCCTTATTCCTTTCCAGTTATCTCAAACCTGAGAAGACTGATTAAGAGCCCAACAATGGAGGTGAAAAAGTTTCTTCGTCCCCTTATTTTTCCATTATAGTAGTCACCATTTTGTTATGGTAAAATATCTTATTTCCCTATTTTAAATGGAGCCAAACACAAGAAGGTGAAGCAAATTAAAAAGATGTGATAAGAAGAAAAAATCATGAATAATAAAAAGATGAATGAACCTGTTGTTGGACCCAATGGAAGAAACCACAAGAAACATTCAAAGAAGAAGACACAGTTTCAGTTTGATTTTAAAAGTTATGCTCTCAAATTTGATAATGGAAATGACTATGAAAATGATAGATTTTTGTGTAATTTCTCATCTCAATTTGCTGGTCCTTTTAGAAGAAAATGAAAAAATTTCTTCCTGGGTGGATCTTGATTTCTGCTCTCAGTTTGCTTTTAAAATTGCTTGATTTTGAGGTGATGAGTCGATACTGATTTTGGGTAGGTCAATTATGCGTTTTTCTTACTGGGTTTCTCTATATTTTCTTGAATTTGGTTTGTCTCTGAATTCTTAATCCAACGGGGTTGATGTCTATTTGCTTTTGAAAATTGCTTGGTTGTTGTTTGAAACCTAATTGTAAGAAGAAACAGAGGACCTGTGAAGGAGTCAAACTTAAATATCTTCAAACTTTAGTATTTATGTTGCTAAAAATATATAATATTTGAAATCTCGGGGTTGTATTTTTAATGATGAATTAATTATTGTTATAAACAGAATGAATCTTAAGAAAACTAGGAGGTGAAAATTAGGAGGAGAAAATATACTGGGAGATAATGGTGGCAGAGAAGACAAGGAGAAAGAAAAGTCATTTGAAAAGAAAGGAAAAAGTATTATTCGCCTAAGGAAAGTTTGGAACACCTCTTTTGCCATGTCAACTATTTGTGTATAATTGGGACACTTTACATTATGTTGGAGTGTCTAATAGGAACAAGCTCTAGTTAAAATGCTAAAATAAAATATTGTGACAACTTTAGGGGTCTTCGTATGTATTTGGCCTAACTAAAAAGAAAATACTCTTTTTTTGGTTGAAAAAGAAAGTACTTTCTACAACATGAAAAAAAAGTATTCATTTTGTTAAAATGAAAGAAAATATTTTTTCTACATCATAAAAGTAAGTATTTCTTTTTTGTTGAAATGAAAGAAAATACTCATGTTGTTGGAATGAAAGATTTTACTTTTTACTATATAATTTTGTTGATATGAAAAGAAAATATATTTTCTACCTCATAAAAAGAAAGTATTTTTTTTGTTGAAATGCAAGGCGATACTTTTTACTACATCATTTTGTTGAAAATGAAAAAATATATCTTTTCTACATCATGAACAAAAAGTATTTTTTTGTTGAAATAAAAGAAGATATTTTTTACTACATCATTTTGTTGAAATGAAAGAAAATATTTTTTCAACATCATAAAAAAAAGTACTTTTTTTTGTTGAAATGAAAGAAGATACTTTTTACTACATCATTTTGTTGAAATGAAAGAAAATACTTTTTCAATATCACAAAAAGAAAGTACTTTTTTTGTTGAAATGAAAGAAGATATTTTTTACGACATCATTTTATTGAAATAAAACAAAATACTTTTTCAACATCATGAAAAGAAAATACTTTTTTGTTGAAATAAAAGAAGATGCTTTTCACTACATTATTTTGTTGAAATGAAAGAAAATACTTTTTCTACATCATGAAAAGAAAGTACTTTTTTGTTGAAATGAAACAAAATATTTTTTTTATATCATGAAAAAAAATACTCATTTTGTTGAAATGAAAAAAAAAGTACTATATCTATANCCGAAATCAAAGTGTGGTCTTTTTGGACTCAAACGACAAAAATAGGTAAAAAAAAAACTGACTGCCATTTTATGTGTAGCGCAATTATTCACCGCAGTATATATTAACGGCACATTTGTCCATTAAGGTATAGCGCGGTGAATAATCGCGCTATATTTGAACTTTCCTGCCCCACCAATAATTGATCTGCACTTTACTGACCCACCAATAATTCATATGGGTATAGCGCATGCAGTATACGCCCTACATATATAGCCCTTATTATGCATGCGCTATACCTCAATTATTCTACCCACCGAACTGGTTTTTTTCTTATTTAAGGAGTTTCAAAATTTGGTAAAAATTCATTCAGGATCCTTCAGGTCTTCCGAAATATTTGTTCGTTAAGTTATTTTGTATTTTGTCATAATGTCCGAAGAGCGAAAAATTGGGGTTTCATTATATTGGGG